TAAAATTTAGAAGAATGAATAAATAATTTATTGTTAAAACTATCGTATAACTGTACAACTGGATCAGGTCACAATATGACTGAAATAATGCAAACGTGACTTAAATTAAGTTCACTCACTCACCAAATCAAAAGCAGCAATGACGAATGTGATACAGCTAATAACATAAATTTGCATCACGCTTTCGCATTGTCATGTTAGATATAGACACTTTGCTTTATCATATTAAGATATTAAAGATCGTTGTGTTTTCAGGAGTCATATTTATCCAGACACCTGAAAAGAAGATCGACCTGACAGTGCCTGTTGAGATGGAGACCAGGTCCTCTATGGACTGTGCAAAACTCTGCCTGCAACTTGGTTCCTGTCCTGCTTTCAATTTTAGAAGAGAATTCCGAGTGTGTGAGATCTCCTCTAGCGGAAACAGCAGTGGACTGACTACGGGAAACCCAGAATGGGATGTCTATGAGCAGGATCTGTGCTTGGATATCTAACATATCAAACCAACGGATTTTGCCAAACATAATATTGTATATGTCAACGTGTTTCGCGAAGGTATCCATTTTTACATGGTGGCATGTTTACATTAATGGTTTTCCTGTTGCCTTTAAACAGTATGGGATTTGTTTCTTATATATGTCCAAGAGTTCCTTTTGAAGCTCTTGTAAGGTACTTAGGATGTTGACGCACGGAAGACGATACGTAGTTGTCGTTCGTGAGGCGACGGTATTGGCCGACGCCACGACTAGCCAACAGTTCGTCCACCTGATCTGGGTCCGTCCTCCTGACTGATCGTGTCAGTCAGGTTGTACATATAATGAATGTTTTCTTTTACGCCGTCTTTTGTCGATTTGTCACGAGTGCCGTCGATGGGACAAAAGGTTCATTTTCGCCAACATCCTATGTCGTCACAATTTGTTATTGATTCATAAACACGTTGTCACAATGGACAGCCAGCGAGAGTACAGCTGGGACACTAGAGAGTAGTCCTTGTAGAATTATTTCAATCCACTGTAGTCGTTTCAGTTCGGATTACGTGATGTAGGTCTTCTTACGTACACTTTTCATTCAAAATGAATTCCTTTAATTTGAAAGTTGGAATGAAACTTATATACTAGGCGTCATTGATTAAGGGTCACATGAAAATGGCAAACATGAAGCACTCGGTCATTAAATATCTTGTGTACTCTATTCGTGCGTCCAAGATACAGGAGCACCTTGTTCTTATGCTCCTTATCAAGTTCATAAAGAAAGCTTGCAGAATCGCATCCCATTCCTCTACTAGAGCTCTACGGGGTCCTGGGAGATCCACTAGTGCTCGGTTAGAGCTCTACACACGTCGACCGAGTTCATCCCAGGCATCCTCAATTGGGTTAAAGTCTGCCGAGCAGGCTGGCCACTCCATCCACTTTACACCCTGCTGCCTAAGGACTTCAGTGACAATCCTGTGCCTATGAGGCCAAGCGTTGTCGTTTTGCAGCAAAGAGGATCGATCACAAAAGCTATGCATAGCTTGCAGGAATGGTACTGCTATAGGAGCCAGAATCTCGTCCCGATAACGCTGTCCGATAAGGTTACCGTCAACCACGTGCAGTGGGGTGCTTCCAGTAGGACTTATCCCTGCCCAAACCATGACCGACCCCATGCCAAATCGGTTATGCGTGACCACAGTTGCGTATGTGATTCGCTCTCCATTGCAAAGATAACTCCCCTACCGACCATCATGGAAGGACAAATTGAATCTGCTTTCACCTGTGAGGAGCACAGGAGACCACTGACGTTGATTCCAGCGGCCATGATGTCTCCTCCATCTCAAACGCGTCTACCTGTGACATGGTGTTGGTGGTGGACGAACTGCAGGTCGCCTACAGCGGTGCCATTTATAACAGAATGTATCGGACGTTAAAGAACGTAATAATGACAATTCAACGGAATTATGTGTTTTTCCATACTGTTAAGAAAGTTTGTAAAACATTCAGTTGTATATTTCAGACAAAAACGAAGATTTTACAACTTTTAAGAAATAGTGTTACCAATGGCTTGACCTTTCATTAATGACGCCGAGTATATTTCAGTATGAGAAGTATTAAAAGGGGTTGGGAAGGGGGAGTTGGTGTTGAGCCCAGGGAGTAGGTATTCCCTTTGAAAGCTAAACAGGCAAAAATATCTGAGGGTGTTAAAGCTTAAAATGTCATGGTCTCCAGTGCGTCTTCTTTTGACATGCTACTAATGCATAATCCTTTCAAGCAATATATATGTCTAGTTATATTCTCCACGTTTGAAGGACTCTTTGTGAAGTTCCTAGCGAAGACGATGGAGAGGGGGGCTCGAGGTCTTATGTGGGGTCCGTGTTCTGATAAGCATACTGGCGAGTCAACACGCGGATACGCTTTTCTCTATCTTTGGCACCCTAAGAGAATTTCCCTCCTGAACAGACTTCGGTCTTTGGGAGTCTGTTTTGATGCATATATGTACCCCAAGGAAGACCTCTTCTGAAGAAATACAGTAGCCAAACAAATAGGGTTTTCAATCCTTTGAAATCAGTCTTCCTTGTGGACCGACTATACCGACAAAACTAGAAATAACATTCCTGCACTGCCAGCACACCCTTCCAAAATATCATTAAAACAGACAGACGACAGTGTCAATTTCAAAACATGTGGTCTCGCAAGCGAACACCCACTCTTTATATCTCGACTTACAGATGTGTAGTGAATTGTTTTCTGAAAATATTCTTCAAAATGGGGCGGTGGGGTAGCCTAGTGGTTAAAGCGTTCGCTCGTCACGCCGAAGACCCGGGTTCGATTCCCCACATGGGTACAATGTGTAAAGCCCATTTCTGGTGTCCCCCGCCGTGATATTGCTGGAATATTGCTAAAAGCGGCGTAGAACCATACTCACTCACTCTTCCAAATACTCTATTGCAAGACCGATTTCCCCAGTATGTGCAGAGACTTCATGAATAGATTGCATATTTCTATTAGCCACCCGCTCGCGAAGGTAATTCCACCCCACGCCACACCTCACCCCAAAAGCAAGGGGGCGGTGGGGTAGTCTAGTGGTTAAAGCGTTGGCTCGTCACGCCGAAGACCCGGGTTCGAATCCCCACATGGGTACAATGAGTGAAGCCCATTTCTGGTGTCCCCCGCCGTGATATTGCTGGAACATTGCTAAAAGCGGCGTAAAACCAAATTCAGTCAGCCAAAAGCAAGATAGGACAAAGAACAGAAGCTCTAACCATATATGTCAATGGACGTTATGCTCTCTTTGAATTAAAACACATAAAACCATTCAATTGTCATTAAAACGATAATAGATCCAATTAATACAAATAAGGGTTGAACAGATTAGAAAAGTCAAAATATTTCTTAATCGGGACTTCTTGTGAGAAACACTTTTAAGCCATTGGGGTCAACACGTACATTCACTGCCTGCCAAAGGTCGTTAACCCTAAGGGGTATTGGCCCCGTAAGGTAAGGAAACAATAACGTGTCAATTAAGCTACGAAAAATCAATTGGCGCAGCAATTACACGTGTACAATAAACTTGAAACTACATCAAAGATGTAAGATGAAAGAGTTTCCAATATGCATTGATTTATTTATACTTACAGTACGTTGTATTTACACAGAGCTTGGGATATTACCCTCATTAATACCTAGTGACCCTTTCAGTACAACATCTATATGAACTATTGTTTTCTCCGTCAGCTGTTCGATGGATGTGTGTTAAACCATTATCATGTGGACTACTTTCTTCCTGGTGGCATTTACTTGTCCAAAGTGGGCATCACAGATTTTAGGATGTCAGATATGTTTGGACCGCAGTACAGTACACTCGAAATTGGCCTTCACTATCGACTATAATCTGTGTGTTGTCAACCGAATGACAACCGAATTATATTCAATTTCAACCGAATTCTATATCAGGGGCTGTTTCCGTTGATGGAAAGGTAATACTATCTAAGCTACATGCTACATAGGCGGATCTAGAGGGTGTGGGTGATGGTGGTGGACACACACGCATACACACACATACACCTTTGTGCTGAAAGTTTATTAAATGACCATTGAAACTCTCGTGAAAATGAAGTGTGCACACACACCCTTCTAAAAAGCTGTAATCGACCCTGTGCTACAAACGCGTGAACTATAAGCAAAAAGCTGAATCAGATCAAAGTCAGTTTCTTGGCATTTGCCACTGCAATCTGATTCCATCGCGTTTCCCCGTTGAAACACAAATCGAAACGTTTTGTGTATATAAGGCAACACATTTAGAAATAGGAGAACGGGAGTGTCAAATATAGTAATTACTTCGTACTTTTACATCGCATAGAGTAATTTGCTGCCAAGACTGCACCAGAGCTGTACTATTCGTAGTCTGGCAGCCAAGAGACGGACTTCTACAAAACTCGTTGAGATTTGAATGAGATTGAATATTACGTGTATGTCAATGTTTTCAGGCGAAATCTCTAAAGGAATAGGCAGACAGTTGAGGTATGGCAATTGCTTTTAGCAATGTTGCGATGAAGCATAATCATTATATCAAAAATAGTTATGGTGTAATTATTTGGTTAACGGCAAGAACACAACTATATTACGGTCCAGCCCGTCGCAATTCGGACATAGTGACCTGCATCAGCGAACTTCATCCCGCTAGTCGGCTCTTCCGACAAGGTTGGTCACTGCTTGGGTTGCTGAAGACCATGCATCCCCGACCCGGATCGTAACGGGTCTTTTTGATGAATTAAAGAAAGCTGCTTGGTTGGTTGTTTAACGCAGCACTCAGCAATATTCCGTTCTGTAAATAATCGAGTCTGGACTACGCGATCCAGTGATCCGCAGCATGAGTATCGACCTTCGCAACTGGGATACCATGACATGTGTCAACCAAGCCAGCGAGTCTGACCACCCGATGCCGTCAGTCGCCTCTTACGACAAGCATGGGTTGCTGAAGATCAATACTCGCTCCCATCTTCGTAAAAACTAAAAACAAACAAGTACAAAAACAAAAACGTTTATTCAACAGTCTTGATCCTGCGCTTAATATTTTATAGTTTCATCATAGTATTTTTTGTCTATCGATACTTTAAGCCACGCGATCGCTCCTCGCTCAGAGACTGTAGTGTTACAGTGCAGGGAAGAGATACCATCCGTTCCCATACGTCTTTTCGAAGATCTGTACAAGACAGACCTGAAAATATTCATAAATATCAGCACCAGTCCTGTATTAATATTTGATCGATGAATTATAATATTGCTTGTCAATAGCTATGGTAAGCCATGTGACAGTCCCATGATGTGATACTGTAGTGTTACAATGTAGAGACGAAAGCCCCTCGGTTTTCATGCGCCTACGTATTGACTTGAATAACAAGCCTCTGAAAAAATAAGTAGACTAAAATTATGCATTAACATTACAACTAATACAGCGCATCAATTCAATTATATACACAACGTGTGAAGCCCATTTCTGGAATCCCCGTGGCGTAAAACCATACTCTCTCTTTTCCCCAGTGCAATTCTAAACATCAAAACCAGATAATTATCCGTCTGGAATACAGGGCGAAATTGTGAGTGACGTTAATTTTACGCCGCTTTTAGCAATGTTCCAGCAACATCACGGCGAGGACACCAGAAATGGGCTTTACACATTGTACCCATGTTGGGAATCGAACCCGGGTCTCCGCCGTGACGGGCGAACGCTTTAACACTAGACTAACACACACACACACACACACACACACCACCCCGCGAAATAGACTCGACTGGGTGTATAAGGCAAATTTTGATGACGTTTATACGAACCTGGACGCGGTCAGAATTGACGTTGTGAATTGTTTAGTGCCAGCCCTTTTCTATACATACAAGTACTCGTGAAGATCCAGGTTAGAAATGGTCTTCTGCTACCAGTGTTTGTCGTAAGAGGCGACTTGGTCAGCCCACTTTTGTTGACACATGTCATCGTATCCCAATTGCGTGATCGATGCTCATTTTGTTGATCACTGCATTGTCTGGTCCAGACTCGATTATTTACAGACCGCCGCCATATAGCTGGAGTATTGCTGAGTGTGGCGTTAAACAAACAAATCTATACATCCCTCCTAAAGTGAGTGAATGAGTGAGTGAATGAGTGAGTAAATGAGTGAGTATGGTTTAACACTACTTTTAGCAATAATCCAGCAATATCACGGTGGAGAACCAAACATGGAACCATGTCATGATCTGGGGAATCGAACACCGGTCGTCAGTATGACGAGCGAACCACTTGTTTATCCCACAGTCCTCGTCATTTGTGTTTGTCAGCCTAATGATGGCACTTTGATAGCATATATTTATGGAAGTGACAAGGAAAACAAATCAAAATTACGAAAACATAACAGAAGTGAAGAGATAAAGCTCTTTTTTTTAAAGAAATACACAAATACATTCATTTTTCTAAATGTTGCACCATTAGACTTTCGTATATTTTTACCACCCGATGAAATATTTTATGAACGTTTCCAAAATACTGCCCAACCATACTTTCAAAACGGCCACTGAAGAGTCTGTAGAATCTTTGTGAGTGAGTGAGTATGGTCTAACGCCGCTTTCAGCAATATCACGGCGGGGGACACCAGCAATAGGCTTCACACATTGTACCCATGTGTGGAATTGAACCAGGGTCTTGAACACGACGAGCGAACACTTTAACCACTTGGTTTCCCCACTGCCCCTTAGAATCTTTGACTGAAGGGAGAGTGACTTAGTGAGTTTAGTTTTAGCCGCTTTTAGCACGATTCAAGCAATAAGCAGAAATGGGCTTCACACATTGAACCCATGTGGGGAATCGAAAACGGGTCTTCGGTGTAACGAGCGAATGCTTTAACCACTAGGCTACCCCACCGCCCCAGTTATAAAACTAGTTCACTGTACAATCAACCTGTAAGGGTAAAGAAAGCAACTGTCAACATTTCAACTGATCAAGTACTTACTTTTTATGGTTTTCAGGATTCAATTTATCTCTTTCGTGTTTTATTGCGTAATATCTTCCTTGTTTGGGTGGATTTCTTTTGAGTCTCATGCCAACTGTTTTAACTCTGAAATATAAATCTGTACATATACATAACAGCATCAATCAAACTCAGTATGCAATTATGCATACTAGTAAAAGTGAGTAACAGCGGCAATATTTCAGCCATATCGTGACAAAAGAAAGTTACACGTCAATATCAAATGCATGAAATATATCTAAACGGTTTAAAATCCTGTCGTCAATGGACAGTATAACAACTAGATTCTCACACCTATTTTTTAAAACTAGTTTGGGAGCATATTAAATAGTAAATTGTTATTAACAATGCAATATAAAAAGGGCTATAGATCGCCAGCAACTGAAGGCTGGTCACTACACACTAGTAGGAAGATCTGCAACAGTAACGTGAACGATTTAGTCTGATATGTAAGAGCCACTAAATGAATAAACACGGTATTAAGTTTACATGAAATTGGAGCAATGGAAACAAAACGTTATGTCTCGGGAGTAGAGATTGTCTTGGAGCTTTTCTATTGTATGTTAAATGAATATTTAATCCCCCAAAAGACTTAAATGATTTTTTTTCTTTCTGAGATTATACATTGGCAACCATTTGCACAACCAAACAAAGCCAAATAATGACACGCACGTTTTAAAAAGTTTGTAACTTCATAACGTTTTGGAGGAAGAGCACGTTCAGTAAATTGTCGTTTCAGTTTTTAAATATTTTCCTCCGACTGCCTGTCCCCTTTGAAGGTGAGCTTGGGGAGAAGATACAGAGGAAATGTCAATGGCCCAAAATATTTAATTTCATAACGTTTGGGGGTAAGATACAGTTTCGGTGTTTCTGAAATAGTTTAGATTGCCTGCTCCCGCTGAAGGTGAGCTGGAGGGAACAGATGCTGAAGAAGTGTTCATGACCTTATGTTTAATACTGGTACCTTATTTCAAAATCGTCATCTTCCCCGCCCCATCCGAAGTACCAGTTTGAGAAACCGTTGATCCTCTTGAACTGACTTGGAGAGATGGCTATATTACCTCCGGCATACGAGGGGTAAGGAAGCCTGCAAGGAACAGTACATAGATGTTGTTCGTTAAATAATGCACACACTCAGATTATTAGCCATGTGGGTTTCTGTGCCATAAATCGACATTGAATCACATGAGAGTTATGCATGGTGTCATTACCATTTTATTTATACAAAATCCAAACAACAATTAATCTCAGAAACGATCGCAGAAAAGCCCACAGGCACTTTATGAAAATATTTATGTATTTCTATAATTCAGCCTCAGCAAAATGTCGTTTTAGTTTTTAAATATTTTCGTTTCATCGTCTGGTCCCTTTGGAGTTGAGCTTGGGGTTAAGATACAAAAGAAATATGCACGGAAAAACTCATGAAGCGACGCCCACAAAAAAACACCCATGAAACAACGGTGACGGGGAAACACCCAAAGAGAAACACCCTCACAGAAAGGCTCACAGAGAAACGTCCTCGGAGAAACATTCTCAGAGAAGGCCAACAGAGAAATACCCTCAGAGAAAGGCCAACGGAGAACTATCCATGAAGAAACGCCTATAGAGAAACACCAACGGACCAACACCCAAAGAGACATATCCACAAAGGCACAGCCACATAGGCACACCCACTTAGGAACACCCAGAGAAACCCCCACGTCGATATACCCACGATCACAGAGAAACAGATCCAGAGAAATGCCCACCAGGAATGGGTCACAAAGATACACCAACGGAGAAACGCCCAAAGAGAAACGCCCAAAGAAGAAACGCCAACGGACCAAGGCCCTAAGAGAAAGATGTAAACGTAAGACCGTTAGTAGAGAACGTAGACCTTGCATCGATGCATAGAGTGAACTGAAAGCCGCACTCAGCAATAGCCTAGCCATATGACGGTGGTCTGTAGATAATTGAGCTTTATTCTTAATATTTTATTATAGGATATTTATATAGCGCACATATCCACGCACTAGTGCATGCTCAAGGCGCTGGTATTTTTTTCCCTCGATCATTGGATGTGAATCTCAACGGCACATCGCATTATCAATCTCAACTCCCTGGGGAGTATACAACTCTTGCAGGCTTTCTCATCCTAACGAGCATTATGAGCATCTGGGACACAAATGACATGCACCAACAAGCCTGATTACCAACAAACAGACACACATACATACTTATATCCATATTTAGCACTGGCAGTAGAGAGATGGAGTGGGTTTTCTCGACAGCGGTAGTAGTTGTCGCTTGTCTCTGGGATGAGGTCAACATCGTGGATGACAATGCAGGTGAAGTTATCCGCCTTCAGCGCGGCTGCCACTCCCGCGTTGATCATAAGACCTCGATTGAATATTCCTCCCGGCGTCTGTAACAAAAAACAACAAGATAATGGGGAAAACAAGGTACCACTGAACAAAACTCATACCTGACTATAAGTTGCCTGATGTTCATTTTCCCTTGCCCATATCATGGGATGGTTGTTAATTATGCATAACGTTGGGTATAAGGTAAAAGTCACAATAAACTGTTAAAAATTATACAAATACACAAACATATGTGATTAAATGTAGGTTTCGACAATGTTTGTTTGGTCGAAATGCAAAGATTGCCAGGGAAAGCGTCCCCCATGAGTGATGACCAGAACGTCTGTTCGAACTTATGAGACGCTACAAGCGAGATGTTTTTCCCTGGAATCTACACGAAAGAGCCAAAGAAGGGGTACTGCAGACATGCTACGATGTGTGTGGCCCACCCTGAAAACTCTACGGAAAGACTAAGACTGGATACTTGTCACTATCCTTTAATCTCCACCGGGAAGACAGAGTGGGGAATTGCGACATGTCCTACACTGATGGCATGGAGACACACGTGAAGATCCTGGTTAGAATAGGTCTTCAGCAAACTATGCTTGTGGAAAGGCGATTAACGGATCCGGAGTTGGTTGACAAACATGTAACCGTATCACAATTGCGTAGATCGATACTCATGATATTGGTCACTGGATTGTCTGGTCCAAACTCGATTATTTACAGACCACCGCCATATAGCTGGAATATTGCTGAGTGCGGCGTTAAACAACCAGCAAACAAAACGTGGGACACAGGAATTGGTAAATCTCGTCTCTTTCTTGTGTTTTCGCGTCTCGAGCACGCTTTCTTTCCACGTGTAATCCGTCTTCCCGTGAACTGTTGAAGATTTTTCTCTATCTCCCGCACATAATTGAAACAGAAAAAGCGACATATGTTTTCCAACATGTATATTGTTAAAACATTTCAACACTATGTACCCGTGATCGGCTAAATATTTAATTATTCATTTATTTATTGTTTTGTTTTATTTATTTATTTTATTTATTTATTCTAATTTTAGCTACTTTTGTTTATATTTTTTTGGTTTTATTTATTTTTATTTTATTTTTTTCGGGGAGGAGGGTTAGGTGGACCCAAACTTCCCCCCTCCCATTTCCCCTTCCGACCTTATCCCCATGTGGGTGAGCGAAGCATAAAGTAGCAGGGAAGGCTCAGGAATCATTCGGGATTAGGTACAAATTCATTACATAATGTAACTCCTGATGAGGTACATGCACACGCGTATATTTACCTGTTCGGTAACATATATCGTAAAGTCCGCCTGTTGTTTGTTGAGGAAGGGGATGAGGTTGTTGAGGAGGACCACCAGATGTTGCTCCCGGTCTCTGTAAGGTATAATAACAGCCAGCCTCACCCTGGATCTACACCCCTCGGGCCTGTATATGTCTCCGGGATGGGAGGGGTACTTTTTCCGTAACTCATCTAGGGTGATGTTAGTAAGATTCAGCTTCACGGGTTCATCTTTAAAAAAGAAAACGTATTGGTGAGGTAAGATTGTGTGTTTGTTGTTTAACTGACTGACTGACTGACTGAGTTTGGTTTTACGCCGCTTTTAGCAATATTCCAGCAACATCACGGCGGGGGACACCAGAAATGGGCTTCACACATTGTACCCATGTGGGGATTCGAACCCGGGTCTTCGGCGTGACGAGCCAACGCTTTAACCACTAGGCTACCCCACCGCCACCTTGTTGTTTAACGTTGCATTCTGTAAATAATCGAGTCCGACCAGACAATCCAGTGATCAATATCATGAGCACTGACGTACATTAGTTTGTCAACCAAGTCAGCGAGTCTGACCACCCGATCCCGTAAGTCGCCTCTTACGACAAACATGGGTGGCTGAGGACCTATTCTAACCCTGGTCCCCATCGGTAGTGAGGTAACCCAGGATTGCGTTTCACGGGTTCATCTTAAAATGGGAAAACGTCCTAGGTGGAAGTGAGATGGAAGGGGGTTAGACTTTGCACGTGTGTACGCGCTGATGCGTATGTTAGTTCGAAATTAATGCTGATACCATAGTGTTAGTTCACACTCATAAAGTGACGCAGAGGCGACCAGTCATCGTTTTATCCCTTAATGACGGGCCCCAGTCACAGTAACAACAAGTACCACATGTAAATTCTTTTTGGTGTGACACTGCCGGGAATCGAACAACAACCTTTCCGGAAGAACGCTCTGTCCAAAACACGGGAGGCGCCAAAATACCACAGAATGAGTGAGTAAGAAAATGGGTACGTAACATTTCAGATCGTCGTAATCGGCGTGCTAGTTTTAAAATGGGAGAATGTTTATTTTTGTTCAAGTTTTGGAGCTAATAACAGAATGAAAGTATGTTTATAAGTGATTCTACTAATGTAAAGGGTTATTGAGTCAAATTAATTTTCTCACCCATGGGACAAAGTATTTAGCTCATGGTCGAGAAACTACAATACCGCTCTAAATTATCCGAAATAAATCACAAAGAGTTGAATTTTGTGTCATGAAACTTAGAAACATTTCATTCCTATACAACCTCCAAAACATGGATTTTTTGCAAAAGTTAACATGTTCGCCCATGGGCCACTGTTAGCGCCGGCCCATGGGCGAGGTAGTTTCAATTTTGAGCAGGTGGTATCTATGAATACTTAAGTAAAGGAGAACGCGGTGGGATAGACTAGTGGTTAAAGCGTTCGCTCGACCCGCCGATGACTCGGGTTCGAACCCCCCATGGGTGCGATGTGTGAAGCCCATTTCTAGTGTCCCCGCCGTGATAAAGCTGGAATATTGCTAATAGCGGCGCAAAACCATACTCACTCACTAAATCAAGGAGAACACATTCATGTGTCGTCCATGTGTCATACACACATGCATATAGATGGTGAACTATGTTCCGTGTAACATCTGCATCACACATGTATAGCTTGAGCAAAGTTTACATAGTTCATGTTGCAATTACTAAATGAGAACTGATGTTATTAAAAATATCCTTCATTGAGCCGGGTTAGAATTGGTCTTCAGTAACCCATGCTTGTCGAAAGAGGCAACTAATCGGGTCGGGTGATCAGGCTCGCTGACTTGGTTGACACATGTCATCATATCCCAATAGCGTAGATCGATGTTCATGCTGTTGATCACTGGAATATCTGGTCCAGACTCGATTACTTACAGACCGCCGCCATATAGCTGGACTATTGCTGAGTGCGGCTAAGAACTAAACTCACTCACTCATGATATATACCTGGGTATAGATAGCCTAGGGAGAACATAACTCTCGTGTCTCTTCTGTGCCATACACACGTGTACTGCTAACCCAAGATGAACTCATTCAATGAGCAAACTAAAATCTCCGAGCCTTTATCCTCTCAAAATCCCCTGAATTTCCGTTGTGAGCTTCCTGAGCAAACCCAGGTAAACGTGAGTTCAGGGGATCCCAGTAGTGACACGGTCCCTTCGTCATCTGAACAAATATTGAATCCCTCCAAACATCACTGGCATGTTATCTTGCTCCAGGCCTCCGTTATCAAGCGGGAATCGACCTCCCGGTACGCTCCCAACCCAGTACTATCACGCGCTCATCAAAGCAAAACCAGGTCGTCTGCTTTTGACGCTCCTGGAGCAGACGACATCACCTAACTTACACGACACGGTAAAACAGCATTGCTAAAGTACCCGAATACAATCAGCGACGTCGATAAGGACCCGTTCATATTCCATGGCAAGTGGGGTCGGGTCCATGATGGGTTTTTTTATGGAGAAGCATTTACAATGTGAATGACAACCCCACCCCCACCCCACCCCACCCTAAAAATTTAGCCCTCCAACCCGCGTGTCATGTGCAATGACCCGAAACCCAATCACTTTTATTCCAGGGGTCTTTAAATGACAATCACTTTTTCCATGTATTCAAGCTCAGCCAAGCGGGAGACATTTGGTTGACGAGCCTTGTCAAAATCTCACAACCCTGCGGTGTAGATTTCTACTCATTTCTACTCTACTCAACGCGCCCTCTTTCAGACCTTGAGTCGCACAACCCACCAGACAACTCATAGCCCCCCAAAAAACGAACACAAAATCTTGAATCTATCCTCATATACCGCAGAAAATATCAACAACTTAACGCGCCCTGCAAAGTGCACAACCCGACAGCTCAACCATTGCAATACACATAGCCCAACCGAACCACCAAATCTAGAATCTAGCATTATATACTGCAGAATATCAATAATATTTATAAACCCCTCCAAAGTGCACAACCCGACAGACAGCTCAACCTTTGCAATACACACTAACGGGATCGGGTGGTCGGGGCTCGCTGGCTTGGTTGACACATGTCATCGGTTCCCAATTGCTCAGATCGATGCTTTTGCTGTTGATCACTGGATTGTCTGGTCCAGACTCGATTATTTACAGACCGCCGCCATATAGCTGGAATATTGTTGAGTGCAGCGTAAAACTAAACTCACTCACTCAACCAAACCGAACCACCAAATTTAGAATTTATCCTTATATACTGCAGAATATAACAACAATTTATATAACGCCCTCCAAAGAGCACAACCCGATGGACAGATCAACAAAAACGAACACAAAATCTTGAATCTATCCTCATATACCGCAGAAAATATCAACAACTTGACGTGCCCTCCAAAGTGCACAACCCGACAGACAGCTCAACCATTGCAATACACATAGCCCAACCGAACCACCAAATCTAGAATCTAGCATTATATACTGCAGAATATTACAACAATATATCCATGTAGCCCTCCAAAGAGCAGACACCCAAACACTGCAAACCTTTGATGCTCACATACTGACGCAAAATAATCGTAATATCTACAGTAGTTAGAGACTGACCACAGCTCGGTAAAACCACTAACCTATCAATCACTGCATATACATGTTATAGGTATCATCACATACTGCGCAATGAGACCGCCTCCGTGGTGTAGTGGTTAGAGCGTCCGCCCGGAGAGTGGAAGGTCGCGGGTTCGATCCCCGACCGTGTCATACCAAAAGACGTTAAAATATGGTACTTGTTGGTCCCTGCCTGGCGCTCGGCATTGATGGGTACAACAAGGACTGGTCGGCTCGGAGTCAGTATAATGTGTCTGAGTGGGGTATTCATGCTTCACTGCTGCATGGTATCTCAGTGGGCTAGCACTAACAGCTTCAGTCTGGACTAGTACAAGCAGCCGCACATACACATACACACGCATGCACGTCGTCATATGAGCGAAATTTTCTCAAGCACGACGTTAAACCCAATTTCACCTCACCTCACCTGCGCATTGAAAACGTAGACAATATGGCCTAACTGGGCAGAACACAACAGGATTATACACATACATTCAAAAATAATCACTGGAAAAACCCAAACTACTAAACGTACTACTGCCACATGAACAGCTAAAACAATTCATGAACAAGTCAGTATAAAGCATTCTATCAACTCATGTAAACTACAACCAACACAATATGGCTATTTGTAAAAAAAACTTACACTCTTGATATTCCACTTGGTGTCCAACATGTTAAGTCAACCGAACAATACAATATAGCAATACAATAAAGTTCAAAGCAAAATATACAACACAAAAGACACTGACTAGCTTTGGGAGATCCAGGAGAATTCGTACCTAGTGTTAATGAGTTTAGTTTTACGCCGCTTTTAGCAATATTCCAGTAATATCCTGGCGGGGGGCACCAGAAATGGGCTTTACACATTGTACCCATGTGGGAAACCTACCATATGAAAGCAGTGTTTGCTCTTTCCCTGAAAAGCTGCAGGCCCTAAGGACCCAGTGCCATAATATGTCCTGATCAGAATGTGTAGACCCTATATTTTAGCTACAATATAAGTAATTCTCAGCAAACAAAAAATGTGACAGGTAACAACCTGATTTAAAGGATATACATGTATACTCATGCCAATAATGGTTGTCACCCCCTCCCCATCCCAACCCCACCCCACCACCTCTCCAATAAAAACAATTGAAGGGTGTGACAACCATTATTGGCATGAGTATATATATAACTTGTCACGGTTAAAAGATTATTTCTCAGTAATCTAAATTCATTCCTCAAAAATGATAGTCGTTTCACTTTCAGACAACAGCTGCTGATCGAGATAAAACTTCCCCATATAACAGCAGGTTGGGTTGCATCAGAAGTTGCGAATGAAATTCAAGGATTCACTGATGAACAGACCCACGCAATAATGTTGCAATTTGATATAGAGTATGGAGTTATCGTTATCGTGCAATGTGGTTATTTTGATGAGCGGAATACACAAAACAGGAGTAGGTTGTATAAGACAACCAGGCGTTTAAACATAATTCGACAAATAAGATTCAAGTAATGCTCTCAGCTCAGTGAGTGAGTTGAATTTTACGCCGCTTTTAGCAACATTCCAGCAATATGGCAGGGGATACCACAAATGGGCTTCACACATTATACCCATGTGGGGAATCGAACCCGGGTCGTCGGCATGACGAGCGAACGCTTTAACCGCTAGTCTACACCGCCGCCCCTTCTCAGCACAGATTACCCTACAATACATCTAATGGTTGCACCCCTTTTCCACTGTAGCCCTGTTCGTTAAGCAATGGAAAAAGGGTTAGTTTAGTGACACGTGAAGATAGGGGTTAGAATTGACCTTCAGGAACCCATGCTTGCCGTAACGGGATCGGGTATTTATGTTCGTATATCATTGTATCCCAAGTGCGTTGATCGATGCTCATGCTGTTGATCACTGGATTTTCTGGTCCATACTCGATTATTTACAGATTCACTGCCTAATAGCTGGAAGATTGCTGAGGCCAGCCTTAAAAAACAAACCAAAACAACAACAACAAAAAAACTAGCTTTGTGGAACAGTGCTTACTGTAACCTCTGAACCGCAGTAATAAAGCATTTCTGCAAGGTGGGGATGCCTAGTGGTAAAAGTGTTTGCTCGTGACGGCGAAGGTCCCGGTTCGATTCCCTCAGGGATACACGTACATTTCTGTTGTCAATCGTCGTAATAATGCTGGAATGTTGCTATAAGCGCTGTAGACCCTTGTAGGCTTGCAATATAGTTGTCAAGCATGGGTGCCACACAAACAAATTCCAATTTACAGGCTTTCAGGAAGAAATGGTAATAAAGAGTATAATTACTTATATTTGGTGGTGTTTCAGGACATTCCGGAAGTGACTTCCTATCCACTGGCGTCTGCGTTGTCGTATGGACAGTCTGTACACTGATGTTATGCAAAGGCACAAGTTGGCGCAGCTGGCCTGAGAACAGTAAACCTCCACTGAAAACAACGGCCATTATCAAAGTCCCGAGAAATGATCTTTTGACGAAGCCCGAGAAGGTGACCATGTTGAGTCGAGACAACTCGCACAGGTCTGGCTGATAACGTCTCCCACTTTCAAGATGACCTCATTCAACTGTGCGTGCTGTGGGACCGGCAGATCACCGCTTGATCGTGTCATGTGGTTACGATTTCCTGTTGGAGGAGTAATGAACAGATGTCAGGACAAGGAAGAAAGAACAAATGTGTTATATTATACTTCTGGCATACAAGTGTATTTAAACAATAACTAACGACGGGGAATGACAGTTATATTAATTACGCAATTCTCAAGCCCTGGCGAGAGAGTAACATAATTAATATAACGAGGGGAAGATAATCTGCCATTCCCCGTCACGAGTTGGTTATTATTTTTATAACCCATATCAGTTTTCGATCTAAAAAACGCTAAAATGAAAACACCATCGTCTATAAAGAAACCCGCGATGTGGGGAATCCCCATATCCCTACGCGTTGATTGGCTGTTTTTTTTCCAAAATTCAAGTCATTATTTGCCATACATAAGGCTTTTATATATGTGTTCTGCTGTACTTCATCCCTTCATATATATAATCAGTAGTCAATATATATATAATATAATCAGTGTTATTCTGGGCTGCCTTGTGTCATTAGCGCACTAAAACATGTAGATCGCAGGCCTTTGTTAAGAAACATAGCCCTAACTGCTCTCGCTGAATGGGCTATTGTTGTTTTGGGTACTTACAGTGTCCCATAGTTCAAAGTTGGCCGTATGTTATACTATGGGTGGGTTATGTGTCTAGATTTTATGGATGTGTGTGTAACTGTTGACACGCTAATAAACAATTTTCTCTCTCTCTCTCAGTAATCTGAACTCAGCACGCCACGCTCAACCGTGTTTCGGATGACATTGTAAAGCATGCAAATCGGTGTAGTGGGAAAAAACGAAGCGCTGATTTCTCGATTCTTGTTGAACAATTGTACAACATGTCACTGACGTATCAGAGACAATTCTACAAACCACCATCAGAGTATCTACAGAGTCTGCAAGACCCAACCTGCCTCGTAATAGCGACAGCAAACACTACGATTAATATCCTAAAACGTAATCAGACTAGATAAAGACTGACTGACTGACTGAGTTTGGTTTTACGCCGCTTTTAGCAATATTCCAGCAACATCACGGCGGGGGACACCAGAAATGGGCTTCACACATTGTACCCATGTGGGGATTCGAACCCGGGTCTTCGGCGTGACGAGCCAACGCTTTAACCACTAGGCTACCCCACAGCCCGACTATATAAAGAAACGTATCAGTTGGGAAGTTCAATATTGAACAAACTTTATGGATGACAAATTCTTTTATTTCCTGCTGGACAACGGTACAAGAATCGGTATCGGTACCTCGCACTCACGAAATAAAGACCGCCTCCGTGGTGTAGTGGTTAGAGCGTCCGCCCGGAGATCGGAAGGTCGCGGGTTCGATCCCCGACTGCGTCATACCAAAAGACGTTAAAATATGGTACTTGTTGATCCCTTCGTGGCGCTCGTCATTAATGGGTACAACAAGGACTGGTCGGCTCGGAGACAGTATAATGTGTCTGAGTGGGGTATTCATGCTTCACTGCTGCATGGTATCTCAGTGGGCTAGCACTATAAAACCAGCTTCAGTCTGGGCTAGTACAAGCAGCCGCACATACACATACACACGCATGCACGTCGTCATATGAGCGAAATATTCTCAAGCACGACGTTAAACCCAATTCCACCACCACCACCACGGAATAAAAAAAAAGGTGTTATCCATGAAGTTTGTTCAATATCAATACTGACAGGCTGGTTGTAATGAAATGAACAGTTTTCATCGTTGAAGTGTCCAGTTATGTTGTTTCAAACTACATGTATCAGATTGAAAGCAGTGCTAGCTAGATTAAAAAAAAATGTTCAGTCATTGTTGAAGTGTTCAACTGAGCTGTATTGATACTGGGTATTATTCATTGTGTATTATTTATTGATTTCTTTTAATTTTAATCGATGTTAACTGTTCAATAAATGTGTTTAACAGATCTTGATTTGGTTTCTATTCTTGACCTTACCCGTGCTGACAGTTTAAAAAGGTTAGTGAACTCGTACTCGTAACAACAAGTTCTTTATGGTAGCAGGTCTCGGCAATTTGACATGACCAACAATACTTTCTGAATGGCCAACTTACCTAGGATAGGTAGGCGATAGTCCCACATTTTAGATAGGCAAGAACGAACACTAATTATATGGAAAATTTATACAAATTGGCAAAAAAATAAAATGTGTCCAACAAGATGGATGGATAGATACAAAACTCTCACGCTCTGACTTTTACGAGGGCTTCCACAAAGTTAAGAAACTGAATAGATTGCTTGAGTGACTGAATCGGTCAGGTAGATGGTTATTCAGACGTTTACGACACTGGTGAAAGCCGCAAGCACAAACGTATTAACACAATCACAGCGAATCCCAATACATCACAACCCACCATCACAGATAGATGGCGTATTAACGGGACGCTACACTGCTGCGATGTAGACGAAGTGGCTACCCACTCCATGTTAGAGAGCGCTCACGAATGTTCCCTGTGGTTAAAGCGTTCGCTCGTATTACTGAAGACCCGGTACGATTCCTCATATGGGTGCAATATGTGATGCCTAATTCTGGTGTCCTGCGCCGTGATATTGCTGGAAAGTTAAACTCGCTCACTCACTCACTCACTCACTGTGTGTTATGCCATACTCTGCCACGAATAAATACTCCAACAGACTTAGAGTCTTCTCTGTTTTTCAGGTGATGGCCAAGTAGTCAGCTCTAGCTTGTCATTGTGACCCAGTAAGCGGGACCACAACCAAACGTGCCAAGTCCGGAAACATTTTCATTAACATATATTATTAAACATGTACAGTATTGTTTACTTAACTGAGTAACAGATTGTGTATAATCGATCCAATACTAACTTATTCCTACCATTTATGAATGCAACATATGTCTGCGAATGGTAAAAGTGCAAAACTAAAACTTACTGACTCATGGGCTAACTTACCAGTGCTGACATATTTTCACTGTTGTAAAATGACATCATGTGCTAACTTACCAGTGATGACATGTGTTCATTGTGATTTCATATGACATCATGTGTTAACTTACCAGTGATGACATGTGTTCATTGTGATCTCATATGACATCATGTGCTAACTTACCAGTGATGACATATTTTCACTGTGATGTAAAATAACATCATGTGCTATATGTATAACAGTGATGACATATGTTCATTCTGATCTCATATGACATCATGTGCTAACTTACCAGTGCTGACATATTTTCACTGTGATGTAAAATGATATCATGTGCTATATGTAACTTACCAGTGATGACATGTGTTCACTGTGATCTCATCTGACATCATGTGCTAACTTACCAGTGCTGACATATTTTCACTGTTGTAAAATGACATCATGTCCTAACTTACCAGTCCTGGCATGTTCACTGTGATCCCATATGACATCATGTGCTAACCTAACAGTGCTGACATATGTTCATTGTGATCTCATATGGCATCATGTGCTAACTTACCAGTGATGACATATGTTCATTCTGATCTCATATGACATCATGTGCTAACTTACCAGTGCTGACATATTTTCACTGTTGTAAAATGACATCATGTCCTAACTTACCAGTGCTGGCATGTTCACTGTGATCCCATATGACATCATGTGCTAACCTAACAGTGCTGACATATGTTCATTGTGATCTCATATGGCATCATGTGCTAACTTACCAGTGATGACATGTGTTCATTGTGATTTCATATGACATCATATGTTAACTTACCAGTGATGACATGTGTTCATTGTGATCTCATATGACATCATGTGCTAACTTACCAGTGCTGACATATGTTCACTGTGAGCTCACATGACATCATGTAGCTTCAAAACTGATTTGCCTGGTCAAGTATAGTTTATGTACATCAGTAAATTAATGCAGCTGAAACAAAATGTATGTTTGATATGAAATACAATAGCCCTGGATACGGTACCAGATGCAGATTTCACACATATATATAATGCTGATGACACCCATGAGCAGTGAGATGGTGATGACAAATACAGAGACAACATTTGATTGAAAAGAGAAAGATTCAAACCCACAACTACATGATTCTACACTGTTCACTGTCATATTTACAATACAATGCTTTGTACTTGTATGTGGCTGCTTCTCAGTGTTTGTAGGTAGGTACATGGAAATGAACAATTAAAATAATTAAAACATAAACATCAGCATGATAAGGAAGTTCCGGTAAGTATAAATATTACATACCCTTGACGATGCTAAAAACGCTGTACCCAATGAATGGTCATGAGACTAATGTCACCGGGAATGAAAATTAATTTAAAAGGGATACCTTCACTAAATATAATATTTACAATCACCAAAACAGACTGGATTCTCTCAACTCTCTCAGAATGTTTTCATGTCATGCATGCATGTGGAACCTCAAAATAAGCAAAAATACTAATTCCTTAAACAAAACCTCCTGCCTCGACTAAATGCCGGGTCCAAAGCCTTATATCAAATTCATTGCTTACATGTAGGTACCATCCTAAATACATACAGTAGACTTCGTGGATAACCTTGATTCGTGGATCGCAAATATTATCAAGCTAGCTCGTAAATTAAGTCTCGACTGACGTCACGAAGCGGTACTTTGGATGTACATACAATGCCACGCCTCGCTGACAAAAAAGTTCCGAATCTCTGCATTACACGCAAGTACACTAAATGTAATTGTCCAGCATTGAGATAAATAGCGCTAAATCACTAATACCACCATTACCAAATTTTATTTTTACAAAATGTCAAGTAGAAAAGATACCGTTAGCTCCAACATTCCCACTTCTCGTTGTCTGCTTTCCTTGATGTCAATGTGCAGTGAGATGTCGTACATAGTGGTATAAAGTAACCGACTACGTAATCCACGAAACAAGGTGACGTCACGAATGGGTGATGATTGCAAATGGCTTCCGTAAACAAACGTTTCTTTCTCGGGTGGAATATTGGGCATTTTCAATTTGCTGAATCAATGAATAAAATAATCAGTGCGTATAAAAAATGAAAGCATGCATTTAAAACATGAATTT